AGGAGATGGAAGGGGTTGGGGAAAGGCTCCAGGAAGCCTCACTGGGTCTGACTGGAGCTTCACATCTTTAATGTACAGACTGCCAAGGACCAAAGACAGCCAGCTCTCCCATCCTGCTCCTGTTCACCGTTACTGAATAAATCACTTCAACCCCCTCCAGCTTTGGCCCCGCTCCATCAACAGAGTAAACCAGGGCTCCCCACTTGAGCCTGTCATCAAAAGCAGAGGGCACCAGTGTGCTCTCTCCCAGGCTCTGTAGCCCTTGTGGGCAATGTCCCCTCCTCCCCTTCTCCTCCCTCCCTAGGCGTTTCAGAATAGCAGTATTTGACTGTTGATTCTTTCATCTCTGCAGCTTTGAAAACCTCAAACGTCATATCGGATCTACAACAAAGAGCAAGGACTTCAGGGGTTGACAGCACAGCCGTAATTAAAGACAACCATCAGTGAGCTGCCATGTTAAACAATGCCACGTTATAGCTGCTCCAAAACCAACTGTTTACCTTTCAGACATTTCTATGGAAAGGTTTAAACAGGTGCGGTTTAAATTGTTTTCATAAAAGATCTGCAAACAAGAGATAGGAACTTTTCTACTACCTGAGATAGGACATAGGACGTAATATACAGCTTGCTATGCCCTTGCTAATAGTATCCGAGTGATTTACTCAGGTAGTAACCAATAAGAATACAAATTTTTAAATATGATTGGAAATATTATAAGAACATAACCAAAGATGGAATGGAAGCCATCCCCAAATCTCCACCTTATGTTCCTTCTAGACCATGGATCCCAGTTTTCCATTTTGTACACTAAGAAGACTGCATTTTAAGTTTGTCAATACATAGAACCCTTTTGCCAAATCAAATCCAACAGAACAGAAAAGCAATGGTTTTGAGGTTGAATCAAGGGCCCTCTTGCCCTACTCTTCTCCCAAAAGATCTCTAGAACTCCAAGATCCACTGGGCTGTATCAGCTCTTGTGAGTTCTAGGACCAAACTTCTGAGAAGAAGCAGCAGCAGCTATAAAACATGTATTCCCTCTTCAGGTCACAGCATTCTTCCTACTCTTCAGCATCTAAACTACCAAACAGCTGTGGTCCTGAGTCTGTGCATAACAAAGCAACTTCTGAAGAGCAATTTCTCTGCTCCTCCTTGAGTTTGGGGCAGGGCTAATCACATCCACAGCAAAGGCAGAGACAGATGTTAAAAGCTGATTTGCACCCTGAACTCCTCAGCTGGGCATCCATAGCTGGCAAAGTGTCCCACGCCCAGGAAAAGGAATGTGCTCACCACACTTTCCTTCCTTTTTGGAATCCTAGGCCACCATTCTGAGGTCTGCACTTGTCCTCTTTCCAGGTCTACCTGTGTGCTGGAGACTTCTGGAGGTCTCTGGAGCCTCTGGCAAGTAAATCCACTCAGAGATGGCCAGAAATGTTGCCACCATGGATGATGCCATAAGACTTGACATGGGAACAAGAGGACTATTATTACCTTGTGTGTATCCCTCACACACCATGGAGAATCATTAGGCCAGGACCTTACTGGCTGCATTTAAGCCCCTTAGGACATGGTGACTCCTCATGGTGACCACTGGTGGAATTTCCCACCTCAGGGCGCAATACTACCACTAGAGGAGCTGTCATTCATTTCTTTGCAGACCAAAGACCTTAAAATTTTATAAGAGGAAAATTTTCAGTGTTTCTTTAGAACAGACCAAAAGAATTACAAAAGCTGAATCTGACCTTTTTTCTATAAAAATCATCCAAACTGGACACACCTAATCCCCTTGATGGGCCTCAGGACATCTCCAAAGAGAAAATCAAACCACAAAGAGCCTCATTTGTAGGACAGGGAAGCTACAGGCTAGTTATTTCCAGGGGACCAGGATAAAGCATGAAGAGGTAGAGAGAGCAAAACTCTTCCTGGCTCGGGCTGGGCCTGGGATCCTCCCCACCCTCCCCTCTGCTGACATCATTCTTAAGAGTCTCTTTTCCTTCCAGCCTGGACAGCTCTATTTGGAAAACAATGACCCTTTATGGAGAGTTTTCATCCCAGCTTAAATTCTAAAAGCCAAAGAGCCAGTGTGTCCTGGAGAAAGCTTCCCTCAAGAATCTGGGAAGACTGCCTTAGGTGGTTTGTATTTAGAGGTAATATGGTCTCCTTTAAATTGTCACATTGTCTTGCTGTTTTCAGAATGAAACCAGACATAAATAAAGCAAAAAAAAAAAAAAAAAAAAGTGTCTGAGATAGACTACTGATTACTGGTTTATTTTTTGAGTTGGGAAGCCACACTATTTTCCAAGCATGGTTACGTTATGGCAATACGCTCTCTCATAAATTTATTCTATCCTTCTGCTTGTCTATAAAACAGTCTGCTCTTCATCTTCCCAAACTTGGCCTGCATACAGAACTTTTAACTTAAAATACCTAACAGTATGTCATATCCACCAGATACATGACAGCTATTCCTAAGATACATAATATTATTAATTGTTTTTGAATGTAATTGAACTGTTATGAATCCAAAAAGTATAAAAATGACATTTAGCCATCAACAGTTCTTGAAACACTATATATACAAAAGAAGAAATACTAACAAGTCCAACAGTACTCATAATTTCAAAATTATACCCTTTGAAGCCAAAATGACATTAAGAGAAACAGAAAGGATGTAAGAACTTAAAAATAAAATTGTAATGCTTGAAAATATTAAACTTGCCTTCTGATAAAAATGAAGTGTGAGCTAAATTATTTTTTTATGTTTGCAGAACTGTCAAACAATGTGCTATCTCTGTAACTGTTTAAAGAGACAGAGCTGGAGCATGTGGAGAGAATCTGGAAGGTACAAACAAGGCTGAGGATGAGCAAGACTGACTCTGATTTATGCCAATTCCCTTAGAGTTAACTGAGCGCCTGCTATGTGCTCTTACTACCATATGCTGTAGAGGATTTAAAAAAAAAAGATACACATTATGCCTCTACAGAGCTTATACACTCACTGAGGAGAAAAGAGAGGACCTGAAAGCCCTAAAATAATGAAGCCAAACTATCTTTGATTGAGTGCCCAAGTAAAAGTTCTGGTAGGCAATGTGGGAGACTGGAGCAGTAAGAACCCAATGTAATTGAAGCTACTCCATGGGAAAGCTCAAAATTCAGCTGGATCTTAAAGACTAATTTAGAAAGACACAAAGAGGACCAGAGAGTATTTACAGTAGGAAGGCAGCTTATACAGTGGCTTACAGGCAGGAGCAAACAGAGCTTGCTGGGGAAAGGATGGGCAGAAATGAATGGCCCAGTCCAAGGCCCTGATCTCACGTTATCTTCAACTCAAGGATGTGGAAAACACACATCAGACTCTTCCTTCTCCACTGTTTCTCAGGGTCAGTTTTATCCCAGTCCCACGGGACTTGGAATTCTGAGGCTCCCAGTATCCCCCTCTTACCAGGCGTGCTCCACTGGATCCACACAGGACCCTTCCAAGTTTATCATGAAGAGTTAGAAACCTTCCCTCTGCACCAAGAGCTGAGCTGGTTTTCAGAACCTTTCAAAGAGGTCAACACTGATATGGTCACTCCCTTCATCTACTTGAGACAATATGCCCGCCCTCCTTAGGATCTTAGGATCCTTAGGGTCTGCATTATTCTGAGATCAGTGTTCTCAACCAGGAGCAGCTTGCGCCCCTGACATCTGGAGTCATTTTTGGTTGTCACAAAGGGTTTTGTTACTGGCTTCAAGTGGACAGAGGCCAGAGATGTTGCAATGCAACATTCGATGGATGGGACAGCCCCTGCCCCAACTAAGAAGTTTCTGGCCCAAAACGTCAATAGAGATGAAGTTGAAATGAGATGAACATAAACATTCTTGGTAATTTTCTGAGCAGATTTATTTTAACAAGAACTTTCCATTTTTTTTTCCATAAGTTTGCAGTCCACTTGCAGATCTGCCCCAAATCCAAAGGTGTTTCCCAGTGTGAAACTACATAATCCATGAACCCTGATTAATTTCCCTACCCTGTGCAAAAAAGATTTTCTAAAGAGCAAGATGGGAGGAGCATAATGAGCAAGGCTGCACCATGACTACGAGATGTTTCCTCCACTCCTGCAAATGAAACACTCACACCTCAACCGGAAAGCCAGCACATTCTTCATCTTTTGGGCCCTTCCAAAGCTAGACACACTTTGAGTACTTATATTTCAATAGAGAAGAATCTCAAAGTCCAAACATTGGCCTTTGAGTATGTTCAGTTTGGGATTGCCATAGGAAAACAACAGCCATTGTAACTCTTAAATATTCACAGCTTTAATATAAAACTGGCTCAAAACATCCCTTCCAAGTAGCATCCGTCCCTCATGCTTACATGAAGGGTTTAAGCTTACCTGTGATCAGATGTTATATAAGCCTCCAGTGCAAACTAACTGCAAAAAGAAACTGAAACTTCTTAGAAAATGTGGGTTTTGTGAACTCAGCTGAAATAATGGAGAAAAATGCACACTGTAGCCACAGCCACATCATGCACCCTGAGACCAATGGGAAAAAACAAAAATCAAGAGAATAACAGAATTTTATGACATTTAGAATTTTAAATATTTTTTCAAGCCTTCAAAGAAAGGCTCTTATAAAATTGATAAGGTCCTAATTTCACAAAAATAAACAACTTCTATGATTTAAAATAAAAGCAAGTGTGTAGTAAAAGATACATGATGCTAGCATATAATTTTGTAAGAAAATTAAGTTAATAGTTGAATGTTTTTGTTCTAAGAATTAGATCATAATTCAATTGCAACTTAAAATGTTGTTGATACTCTATATATGTTTATAATTTTTTTTAGTTTCAGCGTTCAAGATTAAATTCCAAACTTTTTTCTTCCGTAGCTATTCTTACATGTTGCTTTCCATTTAAGCTGACTCATTATACCAAAACCCTTTATGCCGCCCCCCAATCCTGACCACCTGAAGCAAAAGCAGATCCCCTTCCCAGTCTCACCATGTTCCCTCTTGCTCACCTGGCAACATAAGGCCTGTACCATTTCCGTTCATAAAAATCTCCCATCTCAGTCTGACAACCACAATTGACTCCCAAAAAGTGGGGCCTAGAAAGTACAAGGAAAGTTGAAAAGCATAAACCATAGGCTGTCCAAAATCTAAGCCCAAATCCCATTACTCTTACAACCCTCCAAACCTTACAACCAGACCTTACAACCCTTACAAGACCTTCCTTCCAGGTCCTGGCAACCCCAACTCATGCCATCTCTGCAACCTCATCTTCCTTCTCTTTAAACCTCCTCATTTGTTTTCAATGGGCCACTTTGATGTCCTCTCTGGTCCAAAACTTGCCAAGCCTTTTCACAGGTGGTCCACTCTGTCTGCAATGCGCTTCCCAGGACTTTCCTCTCTGATTCACAAGTCTCAGCAAAAATGTCCCTGCTTGAGATGACCTTTCTTATCAGGCTATGGTAAGTACCTTCGATACTTTACCTGGATTTAAAGGTGTTAAGACACTGTTAAATAAATAAGTGAATGAATTGTATGGATGGATGGAGAAGGCATGCATAGACAGATAGATGGGTGGATGGATGGACAGACAGAAGGCTGCAGACAGTTAATTCCCATAGGAGAGTCAGCCAATATCTGCTGTCAATATCCATTATCCTCTATGGCCATTTTCCAAGCAATTGTTTCTCTTCCTTGGATCATTTGAGTCTGAATCAGTGAATCCAAAGCTGAGCAGGGAAGAACCTGATTAAGGTCACCGCACCAACCCCCTGGGATGGTTCCCTATCATCCATTTTCTCATGCTTTGTGTCAAGTCTTATTCCCAGCCCCTCCAGTGGCAAGGCGTCTATTACCTCCCTGCGGACACATCTACACACTCTCCCCATTGTGAAATTTGTCCTGATTTTCCCAGCCTAAGTTCCTCTCTGCTTAACTTCACCCCATTACTCACAGCTATCTCCCTCTGGACTACAGCAAATGACAACTCCGTGGAATTCACTTTCTCATCCTGGCTTCCCACAACTTCCCAATCCAGCTCCCTATTCCTTGTTGAAATCTCATGGCCTGTGTAAACATGAGTTTACACAAATGTTCTGAATTAGAACTTGGTCACCACCAGCTTCAACATACCACCCTGTTTCTCCCATCCATCATTCCCTTCTCCTTCTACTTCTCCAGCCTCCACCAAGCCAACTGGGTTTCATCTTCCTACTACACAATTCTTTCAAAATGTAGCCCTTTGCTTGACTATACAGAGAATTTCTAGAAAGCTAACAAGAAATTGTTAACAGTAAGGAAGAGCAATGGGGACAAAAACAGACTTTGCGCTGATACCTTTCTGCACTCTGTACTTTTTCACTATATGGATTTACAACTTCTTAAAATAGCAATAAAACACTCGTGACATAAAACTTACCACCATGACAATTTTTAAGTATATAGTTCAGTGCTATTAAGTATATTTACATTTTTATATAGCCATCATTACCATAGGTAAAACTTTTCCAGTTGAAAAATTTTAAATTTTTAAAAGCATAGTTATTAAGTGGTGACGTAAGACAAAAGAATCAGGATACTATGCCTGAGCAATGGAAAACAAATTTCAATGTTGCTTAGCCATTTTTATTACATTTAAAAAACTTTAAATACAGAGTGACAGGTACTTGAGAATTCTTTTAAGTGAGGAGAAAAAGAATGAAATATAAAAAACTAAAAAAAAATAAATAAGGACTACTTTACTTCCTCCCTTCCACCATTCTTATAATAATGACAGACCACAAATAAGTATGTGTGTTTGCATTCAAGTATAGAGAACGGACATCTTAACAGAACAGAATTATGGCAATCACAGCAGTTATGAAAAAATTATTAGCTTTATTACTCCAAGAGTAGTTTGAATAGGAGTCTTCCAGCTGTTAAATCTGATCATCAGAACACTGTCAATTTTCTTGGCCACACAGTCTTTTTGTGTAGCGCAGAATGTGTTGCAATTAAGGGATTTTCTCACCGAATAATTCTCAGATCTGGAAGGTCTTTCTTGTATATAACAATCCAAGCAGTGGTACATTACACAGCTCCTCTGATATGATTTTATAAGTTGTGGAAGAGGCAGAGATGGTCACAAGCAAAGAGTGTGATTTCGTGCGTGTCTGGTAGCTACACCTCCAGTGAAGGTCTCCCATCTGACAGTATGAAGACTGAAGCAACTTTCTGACTGATTCTGGAAATCCAAACACAAATCCCACACATTTCACAGGAAGTGTCCACTGTGCCCATGACTGCTGGGTTCTGACTCCTTCTTGGAATAAGTGTTGTTGCAACAGTGATAGCTCGGTTCTGAATTGCAGGCACCAGCCCATTCAAGAAAGGCTAGATGTCTGCAAGAAGGGCTGTCTAGGTTATGGTTAGTTACTCAACAAAACCCTAAGTGTTATGTACCAGTGAGTTCACAACTCACAAGGATCCCACATATTTGTTCTTTCTCTCTCCTTCACACACATAAACACATGTGTGCACAACCACATTATATTACTTCATTACACTACAGTTGCTTTATATGGTAAAGAACCTCAAAGAGCCACCTGGCTATCAGAATCACATAATCTGACATGACATACAGTCATGTGTTCCAGGTTGAACAAGGCTAATTTAACAAAAGCTGGGACCGAGTGAGCACATTCTGAGAAAAGGAACAAAGAGAAACACCCCTATGACTGCCTCTAGCTGGAGACTCTGAAAATGGTATGTAAACTAAAATGAAAAATAATAGCATGGTATAGAGAATAAAATACCAGGCTAGGATTTGGGACATTACATTCCAATCCCAACTTTAGTGTTTACCAGCTGAGTGTCTTTCCTTAAGTAAGTTACAATCTGATAGTCAGTTTTCTTACCCATAAAAGGGGGTGAATTATAATCCATCTTGTATACAAGGTTCTTATGGGAATAAAGTAGATAATGTTCATCGGGGAAATGACTAATGATATCTGCACAACAATTCATTCCCTTTCTGTCCTATAAAGGCCCCTCCTATAATACCCATCAATGAGGGAGCATGGGCAGTCCAATATCTATGCCAATCCAACCGCTGGAAGGGTTGAGACTCCACCACCAGGGTGATCGGGTGCTACATCAGACTCCTATCGCTGCTGTCACACATAACCAAAACCTTAGGGCTTACATCAACAGAAAATTTATTCTCCCATGGCTCTGGAAGCCAGAAGTCTGAAATCAGTATCACTGGGACACACTCTCTTCAAAGCTCCAGGGGAAAATCTGTCATTTCTTCTAGCTCCTGGTGCCTGTTGGCACGCCTTAGCTGGTGACCACAAAATCCCAATCTCCAAAGACAGTATGTACATCTGCTCTATCTTCACATCACTCACTCCTCTGTGTGGAGGTCGACTCTGCTTCCCTCCTAAGGATATGTGTGATTACCCTTAGGACCAATATGTAGAATCTAGAGTAATCTCCCCTCTCAAGGTCCTTAATTGCATACACAAAGACACTGCTATATAAAGTAAGAAGTCCAGGCTCTGAAGATTAGGACTTGACATCTTTTAGGGGCTTATCCTAGGCAACAAGACAGAAGGTGCAAATATATCGGGAAAAGATCCCAATCAAATAACATTTTTAAAGTTCAAACTATCCCTTTAAGTAGAAGTCACATGAAGCTTTTGGCCTAATTTACATTGGTGGATGAATGAAGAAAATCAGTCTTCCTGAAAGCATTAGGATGGGCTAGTTAAAAGGAAGTGAACTAGCTTTGAGGGCAGAAAGAAAGAGAAAGCTGAGCCTATCCAGGTACTTTAGCAGTGGAGTCATTAGAAATGCGGCATCAGAAAAGCATGCACACTCCAGAGAGGCTCAGAAGGAAGAAGCAGGAAGACGTCCATCCCTCTTACATCCCATCCCTGAGCTGAGAGCCACGCCTATGTGCAGGTCACAGGACAATACAAAGCCCTGTGCACCAGGTGACCTTTCGCAGGCTTGTTCCCTCACTTTCTAGCACATGCCCTATACAAGCTATAGGCACTGGAGAAAAAGCAGCAAACTGATCAGATAACAACACTTCCTCTCTTAAGGCCATGTCCTAATGACAGCTAAGTCAGTTCCTGGCGGCAGCTGTTTAGGGAAAGCCTACTATGTGTCAGATAGTTTGGCAAGCAAGACAAAACCAATTTCTGCAGGGAGCTCACTTTGCAAAAGTCAGTCAGTGATATTCCCAAGAAAGTGGCCTATGTCCTCTAAATCAAACACCCAAGCCTCCAGATAATCTACCCTGCAGGAGGCCAGCACAGAAGCCTAGAACACTCAGACAAGTTACCCCTTTGTGGGAACATTTTTTAGGATGTGGGACACTCCCTAGAGGCGCCATTCTGCCCTCCCTCCTCACATCACCAATTCCAAAAGCTCCCCCTGTCTATCTGATTACATACTCTGTGCTTCCCACAGGAGGGTTGCATGATTAAGTGGCATTCAATCTTCTCTGCTGGGTGATGTCAGGCTCCACAGCATCCCCGCTCACAGTGGGCACCCCAGTGGCTGGAGGGGGAGCGATTCTGAGAGAGTAAAGAATGGGGATACACAGGTCGAAGAAAAGAGAAGAAGGCGGCTCCTTTTCATTCTGCGCGTGAGCTTCTCTGGGTTCCATAAATCCCTCTGCCCTGTGTATTTCACTCAGCTGTCTAAGTGAGGTCTGCTTATGTCGCCACCACTGTGCAGAATCAATCATGCCCTTCTGCACAGAATGTTAATTGTGCACCTCTCCAAAAAAGATGGAGCACACTGCAGAGACCTCAGAGAAAATTCAAAACCAGTTTTTTTGGAATTTACAATACTTTTTAAATTGCCATGGGGAGTAAATGGTCACCAACATAGAAGCGATCCCGCTGAGACCCAGGTGCCTTTTTCGAGGCTGAGGAGAGAAACAGTAAGAGACCACTCCACACTTCCACCAGTTGTCCACACAATGCTTCCACAGCCAGCTGCTGAGCTGCCAGAATAAAGGAGCCCTGAGCACTTCCAGCAACTAGTGTCCTCAGGTAACTCCACACAAAACGGCCCACTCGAATTAACCTGGATTGCAAATCCTTCT